TTAGAGAAATGCAAATCAAAGCCACAATGAGATACCGTCTCATACTGGTCAAAATGGCTATTATCAAAAAGTCAAAAAATAACATATGCCAGGAAGGTTGCGGAGAAAAAGGAACACTTATACACAGTGTTGGTGGGAGTGTAAATTAATTCAACCATTTTGGACACATGCACATGTATGTTTGTTGCAGCACTGTTCACAATAACAAAGACATAGAATCTAAATTCCTATCAATGGTAATCTGGATAAAGAAAATGTGGTACATATACACTGTGGAATACTATGCAGCAATAAAAAAGAATTCTTAAAGGTTGATTCTACATCTGAAAATTATTTGAAATTAAAAAAGCCCAGTGTTTACATTTTTTGTCATTTCTCATTATGCTATGGAGAAAAACAAAACCTTAAGAATATTTTTTAAACAGAGAGGAATAACGTACTATACTGATACCTTGAAGGATTTCAAGCTAAACTAAAAATTCAATAGAAAAAATAAAATTAGCGCTAAAGGAAGTAAAGAACAGACATGGTAGCACAAAATTGAATAAGAGGATTGAAAGAACACCTTGAGAAACCCTCACAGAAGCAGAGGAAACAATGAGAACGATAAAAGAGAATGTACTGATTTTAGAGACCATGGATCCGTAATATAATATGGATCCATGTTGTTATTTCCAAGAAAAGATGTAAGAAAAATGAAAACAGTTATCAAAGCATAAATTAATATTATTTTCCTGACCTGAGAAAAGACCAAACTTTTTTTTTTTTTTTTTTTTTGAGACGGAGTCTCGCTCTGTCGCCCAGGCTGGAGTGCAGTGGCCGGATCTCAGCTCACTGCAAGCTCCGCCTCCCAGGTTCATGCCATTCTCCTGCCTCAGCCTCCCGAGTAGCTGGGACTACAGGTGCCCACCACCTCGCCCGGCTAGTTTTTTGTATTTTTTTTTAGTAGAGACGGGGTTTCACCGTGTCAGCCAGGATGGTCTCAATCTCCTGACCTCGTGATCCGCCTGTCTCGGCCTCCCAAAGTGCTGGGATTACAGGCTTGAGCCACCGCGCCCGGCCCAAACTTTTTTTTTTTAAGAGATAGGGTATCACTCTGTCACTCAGGATAGGGTGCAGTATTGCCCTAGTAACCCAGACTCTAGGGTGCAGTGGTGCCATAGTTCACCACAGCCCTGAACTCCTGGGCTCCTGCTATCCTTCTGCCTCGGCCTCCCAAGTAGCTGGGACTGCAGGCATGCAATACCATATTTTAAATTTTAAAAATTACTTGTAGGGACTTTACTGTGTTGCCCCGACTGGTGCAAACTCCTGGCCTCAAGCAATCCTTCTGCCACAGCTTCCCAAAGTTTGGGATTACAGGCATGAGACGCCACACTCGGCCAAACCAAACTTTTGTATTGAAAGGATTATCAAAAACATATTTAATAAAAAGAGAACAGGCCAAGTGCGGTGGCTCATGCCTGTAATCCCAGCACTTTGGGAGGCCGAGGTGAGTGGATCACCTGAAGTCAGGAGTTCGAGACCAACTTGGCCAACATGATGAAATCTCGTCTCTACTAAAAGTACAAAAAATTAGCCTGGCGTGGTGGTGCATACCTGTAATACCAGGTACTTGGGAGGCTGAGGCAGGAGAATTGCTTGAACCTGGGAGACGGAGGTTGCAGTGAGCCAAGATGGCACCACTGCACTCCAGCAGAGCAAGACTCCTCAAAAAAAAAAAAAGAACAATACTTAGATACATGCTACTATGTTTGTTGAATAAAAGAAAAGCAATAAGCATGTATAATTAGTCTAACCTTCCTAGGTTGTTGAAAAGGAACTAAAATCAAGCTTCACCTCTGAAAATGTAATGCTCATAATGACCTGTGCACACAGTTTTGAACAAAAATGATAATTCCAGGAAGAAGGGGAAGCTAGAAAATTGAGAGTTTTAAATTAGAAGCAGCAGTGCAATTGAGAATAAGAATTGACTGGATTCAGTTGTCTAGCTAATGATAAGAAAAAGGAAAAATGACATCCCTTTTACATTTTCTTAGTTATTCCACAAACATATCTGCATAATTTATATTTTATTGTGTTTTTCTTATCTTTTTAAAGGTAAGAAATCATAGTATACATTTTCTTTTTCTTTTTTTATCATTCAGTTTCTTTTTTTTATTATTATTCTTTAAGTTCTAGGGCACATATGCACAACGTGCAGGTTTGCTACATATGTACATAGTATACATTTTCTTTGTTGTTTCCCATATGTGATTGGGGTAGCATTTTGAAGAGGATGGTCCCTCCACCTGCAAAGCTATTTGTATATTAGAATATTTAATTCTCCTGGGGACTGAACTAAAAGCCAGCGAAAATGCTTCAGGCATTTTGACAAGTAAACCAAAACAAAGTAAAATACCACTTCCACACATTTCCAGATTCTTCTACTCCCTTGCATGCAGTCCTGCCAAAATTAGGAGCCACTATTTTTTTTTCCAAGATGGAGTTTCGCTCTGTCGCCCAGGCTGGAGTGCAGGCGTGGTCTTGGCTCACAGCAACCTCAGCCTCCTGGGTTCAAGCACTTCTCCTGCCTCAGCCTCCTGAGTAGCTGGGATTACAGGCATGCGCCACCACGCCCAGCTAATTTTTGTATTTTTAGTGGAGACAGAGTTTCACCATGTTGGCCAGGCTGGTCTTAAACTCCTGACCTCATGATCTGTCTGCCTCAGCCTCCCCAAGTGCTGGGATTACAGGCGTGAGCCACCGTGCCCAGCGTAGTAACCACTATTTATCTATTAATTTGTACTCAGGGTGTTAATAGAGCATGTTAATTGATTTTTTGAGTATTAAACCAGGCTTGCATATCTGGGATAAACCACCCCATACTTTTTTTTTTTTTTTTAATAACCATACTTTTTTTTTTGAGACAGAGGTTTGCTCTTATTTCCCAATCTGGAATGCAATGGCGTAATCTCAGCTCACTGCAACCTCCACCTCCCGGGCTCATGCGATTTTCTTGCCTCAGCCTCCTGAATAGCTGGGATTACAGGCATACGCCACCACGCCCGGCTAATTTTTTGTAGTTTTAGTAGAAACAGGGTTCCACCATGTTAACCAGGCTGGTCTCGAATCCTGACCTCAGGTGATCTGCCTGCATTGGCCTCACAAAGTGCCTGGGATTATAGGTGTGAGCCACTGCACCTGGCCAACATTGGATTTTTCAGTTGTATTACCAGTTTTATGTTCAAAACTCCTTTAAGAGGTTCTACTTTTATGCATTGTCTTTACTTAACCCAATCTCTTCATTTATAAATATGTAAATATTATGTATTTAGAAAATATATAATGGTAAAGTTTGAAAAGATGCCCGAGTAACCAAGAACAGTGGTTTCCTGGGGTGGAAGGAAGGAACATTGGAATAGACAAATGGGAACAAGGGTGTGAGTGAAGCTTTTCACTATGTAATCATTTATAAAATGGACAGATTGATCGACTGACACTACAATTCTTTTCAGTGTTGTAATCCTATGAATCATGTCTAGAATATTTACGCTATTGATAAAAGACCAGCATCTACAAAAATTTTAAGTTTTCTTATTACTGTTAATTTCATCTCCAGAATTTAGTTCTTAGTTTTGTTCAGACACATTATTTAAATAAATCAGCCTCAGTGCTAAGGTGTGTATGAATTAAGCCATACTAAGTAGGTACACGTTGAAAATAAAGAAACAAGTCAGAAGCCCCCAAGGAATATATTGGCCAAGTGTATTAGACTATTATTTTGGCTAGTCAAACACATTATAAAAGCCTACTGTAAGAAATGAAATAAAGATCAGATGTTGCTTTCGATAACCTTTTACTTTAGTATTCTCAGCAATGTTGGTAAATATTTATTAGCTGATAAATTATGTGGCAAATGTTCTACAAAAATTAGTTAAATCGGATTACATGTATAGAGAAAAACTGGCATTAAAAGTTCATTAGGTTGTCATTTTAGGATACGTCTATTTAGCATTTCGTCTTCTGGTTATTATATTGATAATTTGAATAATGGAAAGTAATTTTTTTGGTCGTGCGCAGTGGCTCACGCCTGTAATCCCAACACTTTTGGAGTCCTAGTTGGGCGAATCATCTGAGGTTGAGAGTTCAGGACCAGCCTGACCAACATGGAGAAATCCCATCTCTACTAAAAATACAAAATTAGCCAGGCATGGTGGCACATGCCCGTAATGCCAGCTACTCAGGAGGCTGAGGCAGGAGAATCGTTTGAACCGGGAGGCGGAGGTTGTGGTGAGGCAAGATTGCGCCATTGCACTCCACCCTGGGCAATAAGAGTGAAAATCTGTCTCAAAAAAAAAAAAAAAAGTTTTTTTTTTTTTTTTTTTGCCTACTAATAGCCTAGTTTTTAAGAACAGCTTTATTTAAGTATAATTTATACCTGAAGTTCACTCAATTTAAGTGAACAATTCAGGTACTTTTTTGCAAATGTACAGACTTGTGCAACAATTACCACAGTCTAATTTTAGAACATATATGTACCCTAAAAAGAAACCATGTACCCATTCATAGTTACTCTTTGTATCATTAGTTTATCATACCTAATGATGTATATAACTTTGTATAACTACTATAAAATATGATAAAAGTAAGTACTATGCAATTTCCAAAATTATTCAGCCTTGTAGGTTTGTTTTGAAGACTTGATAATTTTGAACATGGACATTTTCTTTGATGATATTTCTTTATTTGGACACCAAAATTATTTAGTAGAAGAAAGAGTATGAGGGGATTGCTTTTGGGAAATGAGTTTTAAAATTTCCTTCTTGTTTGGAGTTTACAAATGAATTCATGAACAGAAGAACGTCATTGAATGTAAAATTACAAATTTATTTAAAGATTTCAATTCAAATAATTTAGTAGGGAAATTTATAAAGTCATTCAGATAAGACAACGATTTTATATAATAATATTTTGAAAACATTAAATAATTTGTCATTCCTTTATTTCCTTTATTTTAGCTTCGCAGAATCAAGAACGGCTATGTGCATTTAAAGATCCATATCAGCAAGACCTTGGGATAGGTGAGAGTAGAATCTCTCATGAAAATGGGACAATATTATGCTCAAAAGGTAGCACCTGCTATGGCCTTTGGGAGAAATCAAAAGGGGACATAAATCTTGTAAAACAAGGCAAGTGATACTTTCCTTACCTGAAATGACTGTGTTTTATACAATTGATATTTATCTAAAAAGGACATGGGAGTACGTTAAAATCCTGTTCAGAAAAACAGTGATTTTAAAAGTATATATATAAAGCTGGGTGTGGTGTCTCATGCCTGTAATTCCAGCACTTTGGGGGGCCGAGGTGGGCAGATCCCTTGAGGCCAGGAGTTCGAGACAAGCCTGGTTAATAACATGGTGAAACCCCATCTCTACTGAAAATACAAAACTTAGTTGGGTATGGTGGTGTGTGCCTGTGGTCCCAGCTACTCAGTAGGCTGAGGCAGGAGAATCACTGAACCTGGAAGGCGGAGGTTGTAGTGAGCTGAGATGGCACCAGTGCACTCCAGCCTAGGCAACAGAGCGAGATTCCATCTCAAAGAAAAAAAAAGTGTGTGTGTATGTGTGTATCTCTCTCTCTCTCTCTCTCTCTCTCTCTCTCTAAGCCCCAAATTTATAAAAGGCTGTTTATTTTTAGATTATTTTAAAAACATCTTTCTTATAATGTTATACATGCCCATTCTATGAATTTTGGAATATATAGAGAACTATAAAGAAAACAAAAGTCTACAATAATATACTCTTTAAAAATACTTTTACTGTATTAGTTTATCTTCTTCAGGCGCATTTTCCACATGCCTTTATGTTTTTATATGCATGTACTTTTTAAAAAATTAGGAACATACTGTATAAATAATTTCATATCCAGTTTTCTCCACCCTAATTATAAGCATTTTTTCCATGTCTTTAAAGAATCTCTGAAAACCTTTTTAACTTTTGCACAACTATCATTGTATACATGTATCATAGTTTACTTACAGATTATTCTATTGGTAAACATGTTATTTTCATGTTTTCACTGTAATGCAGAGTGAAACACGGTTGTTCAGTGAACAACTTTGAACATAATTGATTGTATGTGATTGTTTCCTTGAAATAGATCCCTTGATGTAGAATTATTAGGTTATAAGATATAGCAATATTTTAAAGACTCTGTATAAAAATTTCCATGTGGCTTTCTAAAAGTACTGTACTGTTCATTTATATTTCCTCCAACACTGTATGAAGGTGTCTGTGTTACTGAATCATTTTTCTGATATATATTATTTATTTATTTATCTATTTATTTATTTTTGAGACAGAATGTCACTCTGTCGCTCAGGATAGAGTGCAGTGGCACATTCATGGCTCACTGCAACCTCGACCTCTTGGGCTCAAGCAATCCTCCCAAGTCGGTAGGACCACAGGCAGGCACCACCATGCCCAGCTAATTGTTGTTTGTAGAGATGTGGTATGGCTGTGTTGCCCAGGCTGATCTCAAATTCCTGGGCTCAAGTGATCCTCCTGCTTTGGCTTCCCAAAGTGCTGGGATTCTAGGCGTGAGCCACGGTGCCAGCCATATTATTTTTTAAACCTAGAACAATATACTTTGTATAGACAAAAATGAAACCTTACTCTTGCTTTAATAATTCTTCGATTAGCTGGGCGTGGTGGCTTACATCTGTAATCCCAGCAGTTTGGGAGGCCGAAGTGGGCAGATCACCTGAGGTCGGGAGTTTGAGACCGGCCTGACCAACGTGGAGAAACCCCATCTCTACTAAAAATACAAAATTAGCCAGGTGTGGCGGTGGTGCATGCCTGTAATCCCAGCTACTTGGGAGGCTAAGGTAGGAGAATCGCTTGAACCCAGGAGGTGGAGATTGCAGTGAGCTGAGATCGCGATATTACACTCTAGCCTGGGCAACAAGAGCGAAACTCTGTCTCAATAAATAAATAAATAAATAAATAAATCTTAGATTAATCACGCAGTTAAACATGTTCCTTTTTCCCCCCATGAAATGTCTTTTGTATCCTTTACCATTTTTCTGTTTCTTAAAAATGTGTTTCCCGTTGATTTGCAAAACTGCTTCATAGCTTACACATACTCTCACATTTATTGAAATTACTGCTTAGTTTGTTGTTTTTCTTTTAGTTTTCTTTATTGTATTGTCTCCTAACTTTTTTGTATTCATATTGATTTATAGGATGTTGGTCTCACATTGGAGATCCCCAAGAGTGTCACTATGAAGAATGTGTAGTAACTACCACTCCTCCCTCAATTCAGAATGGAACATACCGTTTCTGCTGTTGTAGCACAGATTTATGTAATGTCAACTTTACCGAGAATTTTCCACCTCCTGACACAACACCACTCAGTAAGTAAAGTAACTAACTTTTCTTTGTATTTCCTTTCTCCGAAGATTTGCAAAATAGAAAAAAAAACATAAAAAACATTCAAGGTTGAGGCTGGGCATGATGGCTCATGCCTGTAATCCCAGCACTTTGGGAGGCCGAGGTGGGCAGATCATCTGAGGTTGGAAGTTTGAGACCAGCCTAGCCAGTGTGGTGAAATCCCATCTCTACTAAAAATACAAAAAATTAGCCAGGCGTGGTGGCACATGCCTGTAATCCCAGCTACTCAGGAGGCTAAGACAGGAGAATTGCTTCAACCTGGGAGATGGAGGTTGCAGTGAGCCAAGATTGAGCCATTGCACTCCAGCCTGGGCAACAAGAGCGAATCTAAAAAAAAAAGAAAAGAAGTTCAAGGTTGGTAGGAGTAAGAGGTAGAGTTCCAGCATCGTAAGATTATATCTGGCAAACACCTGAAATCCGAAAGAGATGCACTAGGCCTTCCAAGGCACCAATATATTACTAAATAACTTTGGTAAAATATAGTACTGGCCAGGCACAGTGGTTCATACCTGTAATTTCAGCACTTTAGGAGGCCAGAGGAGGAGGATCACTTGAGCCCAGGAATTGAAGACCAGCCTGGGCAACATAGTGAGATCCCATCTTTACCAAAACAATACATAAATTAGCCAGGCGTGGTGGTGCACATGTGTAGTTCAGCTGTTGGGGAGGCTGAGGTGGGAGAATTGCTTGAGCCTGCGAAGTTGAGGCTGCAGCGATTGTGCCACTGCCCTCTAACCTAGGTGATACAGCGAGACTCTATCTCAAAATAAAATAAAATATAGTACTTTCCAACCTGTATGGAGGGAAATTTGGTTAAGACAGCTACATGTGTGCTTACTCTTTCACCTTGCTTTCACGTTTCTTGGAATTTATCTGGAAGATACATCTTCAATAGTATGAATATACATAGACATTGAGTTGTTTATTGCAGTGTTATTTGTAACTGCACAATATTAGGAAGTAAATGTCCAAGAATAGGAGATTAGTTGAAATATACTATGGTACATACATGTAATGGAGTATCAACTATACAGCTATAAGAAAAAAATAAGATCTCTATGAACTAACACAGAGTGATTTTCACCGGTAATATTAGATGCAAAAAAGTATATATAGTAGGCTCTGTTGTATAGCACTGGAAGGAAAATAAAAAAGCATATCTATTATTGACTTATCTTTACAAAAAGAAACAAAGAAAGAATAAATTAGAAAATAATGAACTTGGTTATTTATAAGGGATCCAAGGAATGAGACAGAAAGAATATGGAAAAGAGTGACTGTTCTCTGAGTGTAGCTTTTTTTGTTTTTGTTTTGTTTTGTTTTTTAGAGACGGAATTTCGCTCTTGTTGCCCAGGCTGGAGTGCAATGGCGCAATCTCAGCTCTCCACAACCTCCACCTCCCAGGTTCAAGCGATTCTCCTGCCTCAGCCTCCCTAGTAGCTGGGATCAGGCATGTGCCACCATGCCTGGCTAATTTTGTATTTTTAGTAGAGACGGGGTTTCTCCATGTTGGTAAGGCTGGTCTCGAACTCCCGAGTTCAGGTGATCCGCCTGCCTTGGCCTCCCAAAGTGCTGGGATTACAGATGTGAGCCACCACACCCAGCCTGAGTGTAGCTTTTTGTATATAGTTTTTACTATTGGTATCGTGTCACTATTCTACATAAGCAAAAAAAATTAAGTACCTACAAACGGAAAGGATAAAAATTCCTGACAGTATAAGCAAACTGAAATAAATGAACCCAATATTATTTTAATTTTATTTATTTTTTTGAGACAGAGTCTTGCTCTTGTCACCCAGGCTAGAGTGTAGTGGCACGATCTCGGCTCACTGTAACGTCCGCCTCCCGGATTCAAGTGATTCTCCTGTCTCAGCCTCCCAAGTAGCCAGGATTACAGGTGCTCGCCACCATGCCTGGCTAATTGTTGTATTTTTAGTAGAGATGGGGTTTCTCCATGTTGGCCAGGCTGGTCTCGAATTCCCGACCTCAGATGATCCGCCCACCTCAGCCTCCCAAAGTGCTGGGATTACAGGCGTGAGCCACCACGCCCGGCCCCAATTGTATTTCATATTACTACAATAACTACCCTGATACCAAAGTTATTGAAAGATAAGAAAAAAAAGAAAGAAAAACGCTTAAGAGAAAAAGAATTCATCCAAGTGGTTTTTAAGCACAGTATTTAACTATATGCACTCTTGTGCAAGATGTGATATAAAGGATGGGGAGAATTGCAAACAAATACTGAACTCTTTTGAGAAGATTTGTCTTTTAGTAGTGTGGGCAAACCAATTCTGAAACCATTGTAGATGTACTATAGGATTAAGAAAATGAGTTGGCTGGGCGCGGTGGCTCACACCTGTAATCCCAGCACTTTGGGAGGCCAAGGCAGTTGGATCACGAGATCAGGAGATCGAGACCATCCTGGCTAACACAGTGAAACCCCGTCTCTACTACAAATACAAAAAAATTAGCCGGGCGTGATGGTGGGCACCTGTAGTCCCAGCTATTCGGCAGGCTGAGGCAGGAGAATGGTGTGAACCCGGGAGGCGGAATTTGCAGTGAGCCGAGATCGCGCCACTGCACTCCAGCCTGGGTGACAGAGCAAGACTCCGTCTCAAAAAAAAAAAAAAAGAAAGAAAGAAAGAAAATGAGTTGAGGCTGGGCATGGTGGCTCATACCTGTAATCCCAGCACTTTGGGAGACCTAGATGGGCAGATCACGAGGTAAAGAGATCAAGACCATCCTGGCCAATATGGTGAAACCCTATCTCTACTAAAAATACAAAAATTAGCTGGGCGTGTTGGTGTGCACCTGTAGTCCCAGCTACTCGGGAGGCTGAGGCAGGAGACCTCAGCTTGAACCCAGGAGGCGGAGGTTGCAGTGAGCTGAGATTGCGCCACTGCACTCTAATCTGGCAGCAGAGTGAGACTCTGTCTCAAAAAAAAGAAAATGAGTTGATGTACCTGGGGGTTCTTACTGAAGAAAGAGGGATACACAATTATCAAATGGGGAAGACAGAAGAGAAACCCATGCAAATAGATCGCAATTCAAAGTATCAGTATGACTTATAATTTTAAAAATATGCATATGTGTGTGTTACATGAATGTATATGTGGCTGTGTACATGTATGAATATAGACATATGTATAAATGTATTTATATACACATGCAAATGCATGTATTTCTTGAATCTCTATTCATTGAAAAGGATAACAAGCAACAGTACCCCAGTAGCAGTGACTATTCATAATGCCCAGATCTTAGTCTCTAATACCATTCCCCACTAAAAAGGAACTAAGGTGGCTGGGCGCAGTGGCTCACGCCTGTAATCCCAGCACTTTGGTAAGCCAAGGCAGGCGAATCACGAAGTCAGGTATTCAAAACCAGCCTGACCCATATGATAAAACCCGGACTCTAGTAAAAATACAAAAATTAGCTGGGCGTGGTGGCATGCACCTGTAATCCCAGCTACCCGGGAGGCTGAAACAGAAGAATTGCTTGAACCTGGGAGGCGGAGGTTGCAGTGAGCCAAGATCACGCCTTTGTGCTCCAGCCTGGGCAACAAGAGTGAAACACTGTCTCAAAAAATAAAAATAAGGAACCAAGGCTTCTTAGAAAAATGATTTATTCCAAGACTGGAGCAGGATAGATATAAGATAAGCCTGGGACATCTTGTAATGTTTTAATAATTTTTGTAAGAAAGTAAGGAAAGAGCCTGTAATCCCAGCACTTTGGGAAGCCAAGGCAAGAGGACTGCTTGATCCCAGAAGTTCACAACCAGCCTGGGCAACATAGACCTTATCTCAAAAAAAATTAAAAAGTAACCAGGTGTGGCACACGCCTGTAGTTCCAGCTACTTGGGAGGCTGAGGTGGGAGGATCACTTGAACTTGGGAAGTCAAGGCTGCAGTGAGCTGTGATCAGGCCACTGTACTCCAGCCTGGGCAATAGAGTGAGGCCCTGTCTCAAAAATAAAACAAAGCCAAAAAAGGAAGGAAAGGAGTACCTAAAAATATCATGGAGACTTGTCATAAGGACACAGGATCCAGCTGGAAGGAACTCCCACTAGCTAAATGTGGGTCAATTTGAGTGCTAAACAATTAAGTAATTAATTAATTGTGAACCACTGGAAGGAAAATGAATCATGAGTAGAATGTCAAGTGCCAACTGGTAAATGTAGGATTGCTGGAGTTGGCAGCTTATCATTCTGCAACCATTGTGTTAAGAATTGGATCAGGCAAGAATCATCAAAGGATCCTAAATCTAGGGGCAATTTCAATGAGGAGCCAGGATATTTGCATGCCTCCCACATATCTCAAGGGAAAAATTAGTAATTATAAAATGGGAAAAATGGACACCTTGACCAGATAGTAAAAATTAACATTATTAAAGAAGGACACATGGAAATCCATATCTAGAGGACACATAACTAATAGAGTACTATATTCCAGTCAAGAATACATAATCTGAATTTAATCATGAGGTAACATCACACAAACCCCAAATTAGGAATGTTCTATTACAAAAAGGGGGATCATATTTTTCAAAAATGTGAATGTCATATAAAACAGACTGTGGGAAAGGTCTAGGTCAAAGGAAGCTAAAAAGACTGGACAACTAGGCAATGCCTGCCTTTTATTGGATGAGAAGAATGTGATAAAGGACATGATGATTAGAGAAAAATGTTTCAATGTTAAATGTGCTGAAACTGATAACAATACTGTGGTTTTATAAGAGAATAACCATATTCTTAGGAAATAATCTAAAAAGTGTTTAAGAATAAAGGACCATGATTTTACTGTGTAATGGTTCAAAAAAAGGTGTGTGTGTGTGTGTATGTGTGTGTAGAAAGAGAGAGATAATAAAAGCAAACAGTAAAATGGTATCAATAGGTGAATAGGTAAATCTGGGTGAAGGTATATGGTATATTCTTTGTACTATTCTTGCGACTGTTGTGTAAGTTT